CTTGCTTTTCCCCTTTTTATTCTTGGAAGAGCAAGTTTATCAACGCGGCATGATAACAGAAGCTACAATTCTGTCCACGCACAGGCGACATTAGGTAGAACAGTTGCCATTCTGCACAACGTTAAAAGCCCCGCTGAAATCTGCCTGCCTCTCTCCAAGCACAGGCTAAACCGCAGGAGAGTGTCATTGCGTCTTATATTATATAGAGGCTGCAGCTGTCTAAAAATCCAGACGAAAACGTCAAGCGCCATCTTTTTTTCGAGAAAAATTCGGATCAGATTTCAAAACGGTTGATGCCCTCTTTTAACGTTAACCCACAACACATCGCTCTCTTTTTCCCTTTCATCCTTGCCCTTCTTCTTGAGACTTCAACAGCCTTTTTTTAAAAACGGCACAAGGAAACAACCCAGACAATTAAGCTGTTATTCTTGAATTAAGATCTCCGGTCGCTGTCCAAAGCCAAATAATAGCTTGCTTCTATATATCGTATTTGCTAATTCACACCGTTTTCATTTTTACAGTAATCGGCATGATCGTGGGATTCCTCACACGGTTTTCACAATCGATAAAGTCTGGTGCGGATGCAACGTTATTTAAGTGAGCATCATGCTTGACGGCAAGGGTAGAGGAAAAGAGGGTGGGGGTAGGGGCAAAATATAACTGGATCTTATGAAGAGAAGAAATCTTTCAACATCAGTCTCTGGAATGACGGAGTTCAGAGTTAGCTTTACTTTTATCCGCCGCTTATACCCTTTTGAGTTAGCAAGGAAGAAAACTATGAATACAACCCAGGTTCCAAGAAGCCTCATTTATTGTGGATTCGAACCACAATCGCCTGCACTGCTTTCCAGCGAGGCGCAAAGTGAGCTCACGACAAGATTGAGAAAAGAATTTGGAACCCGTAGAAAACGCGTGTTAAGGCTTATGAATGTCCGATAAATGGCCGGATTCATCACCTTCAGACCAGGCCGAGAGACAGCTGTAGGTAAATACCAATTTCTTTTCTTCATTTTGCGTAAAGAGAAGAGCATCAAAAGAATGATGACCATGTATAGCCGGGGAAAAACCAGACAGAACGACAGAAACAACTGAGACAGAAAGACAGAAACAACTGAGAGAGAAAGACAGAAACAACTGAGAGAGAAAGACAGAAACAACTGAGACAGAAAGACAGAAACAACTGAGAGAGAAAGACAGAAACAACTGAGAGAGAAAGACAGAAACAACTGAGACAGAAAGACAGAAACAACTGAGAGAGAAAG